TCCTTATCCCCCCTTTTCCCCTTTACCCTGGTGTTTATTTATGTTTTTCACTTTTGTGTGTGTCTGTATTTCAATTCCCAGGTTTCTCACACACGACCAGAGGAAATTGCTTTTAGGATCAAACAGGAAATGCCGGTGGGCGTCTTACAACCCGCAGCGGTATCTGTCTATGAATACTATGAACGTGAGTCTCATAAACATGTTACCTTTGTTACCTTCAGGTGTTCCAATCACTTCCATGGCTACAGGTGTATAAAAAAAGCACCTAGACATGCAAACTGCTTCTGCAAAGATTTGTGAAAGAATGGGTCGCTCTCAGAAGCTCAGTGATTTCCAGCCTCTTACTGTGATCGGATGACACCTGTGCAACAAGTCCAGTCATGAGATTTCCTCAAATATTACTAAATATTCCACAATCCACTGTTAATGCTATTATAACAAAGTGACAGTGATGAGGAACAACTGCAAGTCAGCCATTAAGTGGTAGGTCATATAAAATCACAGAGTGGGGTCAGCAGATGCTGAAGCACACAGAGGTTGCTAACTTTCTGCAGAATCAATAGCTACAGATCTCCTAACTTCATGTGGCCCTCAGATTAGCAAGCAAAGAGCATAGAGAGTTTCATAGAATGTCAGGAGCTCAGCTTGGCCCCTTATTTCCAGTTAAAGAAAATCTTAATGCTTCAGCATACCAAGATATTTGGACAATTTCACCATCCCAACTTCGTGGAAACAGTTTGGGGATGGTCTCTTCCGGTTCCAACATGATTGTGCACCAATGCACAAAGTATGGTCCATAAAGACATAGATGAGCAAATTTGGTTAGGAAGAACTTTACTATCCTGCAACAGTCTTCACCCCAATAGAACAGGTTTGGGATGAATTAAAATTGGAGAGTGTAAACTAGGCCTTTTTGCTTAATATTGGTGTCTGACCTCACAAATGCACTTTGAGAAGAATGATCAAAAAATCCTATAAACACACTCCTGAACCTTGTGGAAAGCATCCCAGAAGAGTTGAAGCTGTTATTGCTGCAAAGGTTGTGCTGACATCATATTAAACCCTATGGATTAAGAATGGGATGTCAGTCAAGTTCATTTCTGTGTGAAGGGAGAAGAGCAAAATACTTTTGGCAGTGTAATGTAAATAGGCACACTATGCCATTTTATTCGATCATTTTCATATACATTGTTATATCTACCATAACTGTCACAAAATAACAGTCAAATACTTGTTTTTTTCCCTCAATGCAGAAACACGCTGTGTGAAATTCTACCATCCACAGAGGGAAGCTGGAAAACTACTGCAGCTCTGTAGAGATAACATATGCACATGTGCTGAAGGTAAACACAATCATATATATATAATCATATAAATCTGATTAAATAAGCTTATTTTAAAACTGTAATTAAAAGGTTGTCATGTATTTTTATATTAACTTTAAATGGTACAGAAAACAGCAGTAGAAGTGTTATTAAAGTAAAGGTTTTATTTTAAAAGTCAAATTTTGAGCAAAAATCAGAATCAGAATTGCGTTTATCGGCCATTTATATGCACAAATACATAAGGGCTGCCACAAATGATTATTTTGATAGTCAACTAGTCACTGATTATTTTTGCAATTACTTGACTGATCAGATCGTGCGTGATGCAAGCATGAGAAAAACTGATTCATGCAACTGGACAAAGAGCACAAGCACACAGCAAATTTACAACAGGATAATTTGGACTAATGTCCAGACCCCAACCCATTTGAAATGCTGTAGCAAGAATATGATAGACTTAAACATGGGCAAACTTAAAATTCTTGAAACGAAGTGAGACACTGATTTTAGAGAAAACAATTACTTATTACTGCTAAAGGTCATTCTGCGAGCTTTTGAATCATTGGGTATACTTCCACACTGCACTATTCTGGCCTGTGAAAGTAGATTTGTTTTTCATAACTAGCTAGGGTGCTGTTAGTAACTTTAGATGTATGCACAAATCTACAATTATAAAATCTAAAAGATGCCTATTTTGGCAAATCTGATTTAAAATTTGGTTTGCAGTAAATAATCAAAGGTTTATGTTAGAGACTGTAGTCACAACACTCAGAGCAGGAATTAAATGCTTACTGATATATTTGTTGTGTAGTTGACCTTCATATACCTGCAGTCACCTATCAACACACATGTATACATCAGCTTTGCATTTTTACCCTGTCGCTATTGTGTACTTACAGAGAACTGCAGTATGCAGAAGAAGGAAAAAATCCCCAATGATGACCGCCAAGCTAAGATTTGTGAAAGTACAGAGACCAGCAAAATAGACTTTGGTAAACAAACATAAATGGGTTACATTTAGATTTATTTAATAGAATATAGTAAAGCAAAAAGCTAAAAACTATACTTTGGCTGCCCACAGCTTACAAAGTACTGGTTGAAGAGGTTGTAGAAGAGTTATCCACAGACAGTCACAAAGTCAAAGTGCTGGACCCCATCAAAGAAGGCAAGTACTTACGTCCTTTAAACGTCTATTTTAAAAGAAATTATTAGTTTGTTTTTGTGGCATTAAGATAGCAGTGACAGTTAGTTTCAATTATAGCCACAAAAAAATAGGCAATTTGAAGGACAAATCGAGCATTTTATAAAACTGCTGCATGTTTTTGTACTGAGAGGTACATTTAGTGGTTGACACCATTTGCTATCAATAAGCCAGATTAGCTTGTCTTGCTGATATCCATTTTCTTATTTAACATTTAATACTCAGCACAAGCATATTGCGAAAACACTTATATTACACGTAAGACACCATTATGACGATACAACTAGGAATATATATGAACACAGCAGCACTGTGTTTAACTATAACTTGAGCAACACATTCAGTCATTCATAAATCACTGCTCTCAACTGTCATATCTTAATTACAGGGAGTCTTGATGTTGGTCCACTGAATAAACAGCGCATATTTCTCAGTTATCAACACTGCAGAGAAGCTTTAAGTCTGGAACAAGGAAAAACCTACCTTATCATGGGCTCAGATAAAGATATTCACCGAGATGACAAAAAGAATACGTAAGTATATTGTTTGTCTGGCTGTGCTTGTGTGTGGTGTATATTTAAACTAATCTCAGAGTTCTATTCATTAATCATACCTTCAGTGAATAAATGTAATTATCTTGAACTGTGTATATTTATCACAGTTGTTTTATTCTGTATTTTGCTGATTGGTCACACAAACACTATTTTTCTTTCAATTGTTCTTTTCAGATTCGAGTACGTAATTGGTGAGAGAACCTGGGTTGAGTATTGGCCTACAGCAGAAGAGTGTCAGACTGACAAATACCGGGATACCTGCTTGGGCTTGGAGGAGATGGTCAATCAGTACTCACTCTTTAGATGCATCGGCTAGTAAAACAAAAAA